GGATGTTTTTTTTTTAAAATTTTTGTCAACACAGCCAAAATAAAATGACCGTGATTCAATGTTGAAAAGCACTGAAATGGAAAATTTCCGAGGGGGAAGGTGAAAATTTTAACTTGATTCCCTGAAACTTAGCAAAAGAAAAAAAAGCAAATTAAAACATGTGAATATGAACTAAACATGTTTAGATGACGTTTCTGTTTGGAGGTTCCTCATCACCAGGTCTGATGTTTGATGAGCTTCATCTCAGTGCATCAACTTTTCCACTCGAGCTAAAATGCTGCCATCCGGCGCTCAGCCCAGGTTTTTATGCACAAACTGGAAAAATAAAGCCGTGTGTGGAAGCTCAGCTTCACCTGCTGGCTGAGAATCTCTGCAGGCGTCTAAGTGTTGAAAAAAGGAATCTACAGTGTTCAAGGAACAGTTTGGAAACGATTCAACATTTTCATGTCTTGTGAGAATCTGTTTATCGTCTGATCTCACATGGATGTGGCTCGGTCTCTGTGGGGGTTTGTTTCAGAACTTCAGCAGACGGATGAACCCGGTCATGTCTGTAAAGGGCTTCAGCTGCAGGCTGAGATGAAAAGATCGACGTCGTCCTTCTGGTCAGCATTAGTTTAGCTTAGCTTAGCAGCAGCTGTCCTGACAAAGTCACGCTGCTGCCTGAAGTGCGAACGTCGTCTCTTTGTCACGATGCTGCCTTGAGCTTTGACCCTCCAGCTCATGAATCTGTCGCAGGAAGTTGTCGTATTTATACTCTTGCGAGAGGCCGTGACATATTTTTCTGCCGTGCAAAGGACGGCGCTGCAGAAAAGCATCCCGGCAGAACGCAACCAGCTGCTGCTCCACATATTTTTAGCAGACTGCAGCAGACACAGTGTGGACGACTACATCCATCAGTGGCAAATCTCATGAACCTCCAGGTCTGGACTACGATGAACGTTTCAGTTGAACAGGTTTTGGATTGCAGAGCTCTCGGTGGTGTTTTTGGATCAGCTGTTGGTGCCATCATGTGGACAGAATCCTTCCAGAAGTCACTTCCCACAACTTGAGCCCGTTAACATCGATGCAGTTCAGACCTGCGCTGTGCTGGAAGTCAGACGTTCCTCAGCTCGATCTGAAACAGTGAGCAGGACGTCCTTTCAAAGGGGCTGAAAGGAGCTTTGGTTACCAGGTAACCAGCTCACCAGCATCATGTGGACGTGGAGACAGTAAATCCACACGGCCAGTTCAAATCTGGCTGCTCCGAATGACTTCCAGCTGGTTAAGGTGTTAGTGGGGTTAGAGGAGATGTCCGTAACTGGAGGAAGACCCAGACCAGTGGCAGGTCATGTGACCCGGTAGCTTTTCACAGTAAAACAGGCCTCGGCCCAGCGTTATAAAGTGCGTTTATAATGGAAGTGGGCTGCCGTAGGAAGCCTCCTGCTCCACACCAGCGACCACGACGACAACAACAACGATCTCTACGATTACTTAAATTAAAAAACACAAAAGGCCACTTCCATCCGACTGGGGGTCCACTAGATGTGGTCTGGAACCGTCTCCAAAGCCTCGGCCGGGTCTCGGTCCACGTCCACGTTCTGGGGAAGACAGAAACTCATGCTGTCGATCTGATGCAGTGTGTTTCTATGGTTTCATTCAATTATTGTTTCAATGAAAGTGTACGAGCGGCGACCAGAAATTCAGTCGGAGCAGTGACCTGTTCAGTGCTGCTCTGCTCCCAGTGCTCCCAGTGCTCCCAGTGCTCCTGCAACACTCAGGATTCCCCAAAATCACTTCTCAATTAAACGACTCCAATCAGACCAAAGCCATTTAATATTTAGCATCTTCCTATTTTATTTAGTATCCCAGTTCCAATCCGATACCATTTTCCTCGTCGCTGTGTTTTTAGTTAAGTCAACTAGTTATCGATATTAATTTAACCGATTAAAAAGACGTTAACCGATAAACCAGAATGTATCGTAGACCAGCTGCAGTACCTGGTTGTTCCACCAGGTGGAGCCTCTTTCTGTTTAACCCTGCAGAGACCAGAGGAGGCGTCTACAGACTACAGCTCATGGTGGCAGCAGAGAGCATTGTGGGAGTTTAGCAGCAACGGGACCATGACAGAGACTCTGAGGAGGTTCAGGACCTCCAACCAGTTAAAAACATGTCCGCACATAATATTAGCATAGCATGAAGGTAATTAGAAATGTACCAATTATTTTTTAAGGTTGATGCAAAGTAGATCCGACACCTCACGAGAAGTAACTTTTAAACTAACCGTTGTTGATCTAAACTGAAGACGCGTTCAGCAGCTTATTTGTCGCCTTGAGTGTTTTCAGAAACGCGTTTTGAAAGCGTTTCCACGCAAGCCGCCATGTTAGGTTCCAAGGGACCTGTCGTCCAATCAGGTGCAGCCACTGTTTGTCCAACTCTTTGCTCCCCTTTGGACACAAACAGTTGCAGCAGAACCTTTGCCTACAGAACAAGTTCTCGATGCACAAACTAAGCCGTTAGCTGCTGTGTGTTCTGCTGGTGCTCGCCTCAGACCCTCACCGGTGATGAAGGTCCGATCATCCGGCTCCGAAGGTTTAATAACCACGTTGAAATTGCAAATATGCTGCTGCTAACGGAAACCGAGCGTAAAGCTGGTCCTGATGTCGATGTATGCGACGCTCTGAGAGCGTTCTGATGCCGACTCTGTGTTTGTCGTCACTGATGTCAGAGTTTGATTTCTTCACTAGAATCTACAAACAACCTCCAGACTGGAAGCACTGGTCGTCATGGCAAAGCTTGTGTCTCCAAAAGGGATCTGTAGGAACGTTTAGATGATAATGAGGAACAGGACACTCCCTCAGGTTTTCACTAGTGCTGCCTTCAGGCGTCTGCTCTGACTCCTCCGTTTAGTTTCAGTGGAAGCGCTTCACTGGTTTCTAACTGTGTTATAATCTACCAGCATATTCAGCTTCATGGACAGCATCTTTAACTACGACCTCGTTTCCATGGCGACGTGAAGCTCTGTGAGCAGCAGCAGTCGGTTTGTTGTTTTTTGTTTGCTTTCCCCCCGTTCTTCTAAAGGAGTAACAGAAGCTGAACTTACGACCGGCTTGTCTCTGTGCGTGTTGACGGCCTCGATGTTCAGGAAGACGGACTCCACTTTACAACCTGAAAGACACACAGACAGACGGGAACGCTGTTAGCTTAGCACGTACACAACGCGCAGCGCTAAAGAGGAAAAAAACATGTGACTCGTTTTCTTATCGATAGACGCTACAGTTTACGATGTTCCCTGAACGCCCCACACAGCAGGCTGCTGGTGGCCGCGCTGCTCAGACCGGTGTGTGTTTAAAAATGACTTTAAAAGAGTAAACGAGAGCTTCTAATGTCAGATTTGTCCAAAATGGAACTGATGTTTTCCTACGAGCAGAACAACCAGCAGCTGCAGCTGAGCTCCGGGTTTCACGAGAAGACCTCAGGTTTAAACATAAACACAGAGAGTTACTGAAGTGCTGCTGTCCAGCACTGAGGTGAACACAGCAGCTTACAGCGACAATAAGACAGCTTCATGAGCATCATCCACTGTCAAAGCTCTCAGTGTGGAGCCCACCTGTACCTGAGCTGCAGCACTGTGGGACCAATAAAGATGCATCTTGTCTGATCTGAAGCACTGAGCTACCGGTTAGATGTTTTACTACATTAAGGCCACGATCAGAGTCGGTGAGATGAACCCATGAACACAGTTTGGTCATCGTCTGATCAGATGTCTGAACGGCAGGTTTTCTATTTCAAATATTGTTTTCATGTCAAAAATGGCACGTTTACCAGAAACCGTAAAACCAGGAGAAAAAAATGAACCTGCGATGATAAATGAACCAGATCTGAGCTTAAAGCTGATGTTTCTTCAGTCGCTTCATTCTCTTTTTTTAAAAAAATGTGTTTGTTCAGATCAGGTTCTGCTCTGTGACGCAACAGAAGAACCACGACAGGCTGAGCTCAGACCAACAGGGACGTCGCAAAAACTCTTTGAATATATAAAAATGTATTGAAGCCAAAAACATGTCCAAACGAAAGATGGAGAACTGGAGTTTGTTCATTCAAACGAATATAAGAAACGAATGCCATCGATGCATCGTTCTCATGGAGCTTTGCTTGTTCCAGGTTCAGTGTTTAAAGCTTCAGTTTGTTTCCATATGAACACGTTTATCCTCAGATATCCTTATATCTGCTGTGGATCTGAGTTTGACTCCCACCATCTGCAGTATGTCGAGTCATCGCTTTGTTTTCCCAGTAACACATGGACCCTTGGACAATGTCGTCATGTTGATTTCAGGGTTTTCAAAAAAAAAAATCTATATCTAAGAAATTCTCTTTCTGTTCTGGTCTCCGTGGTTCTAACTGAACTCTCTCCTCCTCCTTCATGTTCTGGTTCCACAGAGCTGCAGGACTTTAGTGAAACATGAACCTCAGAGAAGGAACATGAAACAGAAACGGAGACACTGACCGTAGGCGACCGGGGTGAGTTTGAGGACGGTGTGCAGAGGACACTTCAGGTAGGGCAGCTCGTCTGAAACACAGAAGGCAGGTTTGGTTCATCACAACATGGACTGCTGTCGGACAGTTTGTTCATGTGAAGGACGGACGTGTTCCTCCTCCTAAATGTCATGTGTCTATCTGCTGGACTGATAAAGTTCTGAGGCTCAGAAAGTCCATTAAAGTGATCAATCTGGACCCTCTGTGGACTTCAAGGACCTGGACCTCTGGAACATTCACAGTCTGAAGGTAGAACTCTGGTCAGTAGATACAGAACCAGATGTTCTGAGGAGGTTCTGGTTGATTTTATACGGAGTGAACCAGACATTAATCGACAAACACGTAAAGAAACGTCTTGGAAGCACAGATGTACCAGCGGCGAGACCAGGAAGTGCTGCAAAAACTGGTCTGGGACTATTTTCATTAATACGCTTTTGATGCTCTAGTGGGTATTTGGAGCAGCAGGATGGTTTATAAGGAACCAGGTTTAGATAAATTTGTGTTTCTGTGCAAAACTAAGATGACAGATTGTGATCAGACTTAGAAGAACCGTCCCAGACACCAGAAGTCTCATAAACCTGACTGTGAGGCTTCATCATCTGTGAAGCATTAAAACCAGATTCTGCTGCAGCTCGTAAATAAATGTTTTTCTCACTTGCACTCTTGTCCAGGAAGTAGGCCAGCAGACACCTCATGACGGCCTGGTGGCAGATGACCAGGACGTTCTCCTGGCGCTCCAGCTCCATGATGACGGGCTCCAGGCGCTGCACCAGGTCCTCATAAGACTGGTGAGAGGAAGCATGTGACGGGAGAGTTTGAGGAGTTGACCTAAAACTCAGAGATTCTAGAGACAAAAGCTGCAGTCTGTAGCATTTTCAGCTCGACTTTCTGTCTATTGGTTGCTTCTATGAAACTTTAAACTGTTTGTTGAACGTTGGCATGAGAACCTGACGGGTCACTTTAGTGTTTTTCTTTTTTGGATCGACAGAAACCTCTTTAAAACGTTAAAGTCCTGACCTCTCCTTTGGGGTAGCGGTACCGGTACTTGTCCTGGTCCCTCAGTGCGAACTCCTCCGGATAATTCTCCTGGATCTCCTCGTACGTCATCTCCTCACAAACGCCCTGAGGAGAAAACACAAGCTTCAACCAGAGCAGCAAACAGAACACGACGTACAAAAGTAGACGAATAAACGACTGATCCAGGTTTCTGCTCCACCATCTTGGATTTGCTTGACATTTTTAAATCACAAACCAGAATAAAAACGTCTGAAGATATTTGTGATTTTTGATATTTGAGAAATTTTATCTCGATATTTAAAAACCTTCCCGTCGAGCGTCTTCCAGCAGGTTTTTTTTCTCGCATTAAAATTTGAA